AAACTGATAATGAAGTATTTCTTGGAAACTGATAATACACTTCATGTGCAGCATTTATCATCTGTTGGAAGCAACAAAATATTTTGTCTTTTTTTATTGTTAAAATATTTTGTTATTTATTATATTTTTTTTTGAGTTAAAATATTTCTTTTGATTGCAAAAGTATTTTATTGTGTTCATCCTTGATGTTGAATCTTCAGAAATCAATTATATCATCATGATTTCTTCAGCTTTAGGTGGAAAATTTTCTAAAATAAAAAATAAGCTGGCACTCCCTGTTTACTTTTAATTAATATGGATGAAATCATATGCACTTTGACCTTCTGAGCTATTAGACATCGTCATAATGCCATCATGTTTCCTTTCATGATATTTTTCTTTGGATTCAGATTTTGCATGTTTGCTTTGTTGATCAGATTTTTATATTGATTAGAGGCTTTTCAGTAGCAGCAATGTGGGTGCAGACTGGACACTTTTTGTCTAAGGTCTTTTTAATGGTCGATTTTAGATCAATTTAATTTTACATCTGCTTTATGTATTTGCAGAGAATGGTAGAAAAAGAAGACCTGCAGTTTCATGAAGAATATATGAATGAGCAAGATCCCAGTATTCTTCATTTTCTTTTAGCATCAGGGGATGACGTATGACTTGTCTCGTATTTACACAATATGTCTGCTTCTATGTCTCTCATATGAAATATTTCCTCAATCAAAGTGGACATCTGTCTGTTTGTAGGTTTCTAGCAAGCAACTTCGTGATGACCTAATGACAATGCTTATAGCTGGGCATGAAACATCTGCTGCAGTTTTAACATGGACCTTCTATCTTCTTTCTAAGGTATATAGGATTTAAAGTTTGGTAAGCATAAATGGGGTATTTATTTTTCTTCCTGATCCTTAGGATTACTTTTACTTGTTAAAATGGGAATGTCTTTGAGTTTGGAGCCACAGTAATCAGTTGCAGTCTTGGGCTCTTATAGCTTGCCACATGTTATATTAAGCAGACTAGGGCCCACAATTGGATGGGTCCTCCTTAAGAAAGGGCCTACACAAACCTTTAACCATCTAATTTATGCATTACTATTTTTTTCAAGGTAAAAACAAAATTTTATTAAATGAAATAGAGATACAAGAAATACAAATGAGGTGATGAGAAATCACTCAACGGCCAAAAACCCCCTCAGAACAGACCAAAACAGAGCAAACCCCAAACATACCGCCTCAACAAAAGACACCCAACCAAAACATACAACAAACAACAAAATTATAAATCAACATAAAGAACAAAAAATAAAAGAAAACTCAACCACCACCTACTCTGAAACCCCTTCCAATAATGCAATCCTTCACCCCACCTAACAACATCCAGACCCCAACACAGCCCTTTTCCAGCAAGCTCAACACCTTCTACTAAAGCAAGACATCCAATCTAAGACCAGCAGGCCAATTCCTCTCCCTTTGCCCATTAAAACCTTTAACCTTTCTTTCTGCCTTTCCTTACTTCCTTCAATTTCTTATTTATACCAATCCAAACAAACCTTTCTATCTGTTAAACACATTCAAAACCTGGGTGTCTTTAACTGTAGAATGATTAGAGTCTGCTACCTTTCCTAACAGAAATTACCTTTCTTACATTGTCCCTTGCACTGTCCTCATCATAACAGTTCTTAAAAAAGATTTACGTCCGCTACATGTCCTTCAGCCAAATCACCACTGCCAACTTCCTCTTGAATGCCATCCAAAGAACCACCCACAACTACCTGAGAATTCTGCAACCCTGCTGATTCCAAATTATTCTTATCATCTTTGTTTCCATTCCTCCCTTCAACTCTCTAAGCAGCTATTTTCAACTTTCTAAAAGATGTACTAGAACTTTTCTCCATTGTACAAAGGACTGCAACAAGAACACACACACACACAGACACATCTTGATTATTCAGCTCAGCTTTGGTTCAGTACATCTTCATGGCCATATGGCGGGACCCAGGTGTTACTGGTCCGGTTCCTCTGAATGTGAGATGTGGCAAATTAGCTCATTGGGAGCTCATGTTGTCAAAAAACCAAACATTTTCATATTAAAATTAAAGCACCCCAAATAGGATTTTTGAGAAAAAAATTTACTACTGAAGCTGAGGTCATTAACTTGGCAATAGAGATTTTGAGAAGTTGGATGTCTATACATACTGTTTTAGAGATACTATATCTGATTATACTTTTTTGAGGATGGCCTTTTTTGAGGTCCTTCATTTTGTACAGATTCTCATTGTACACAGGACCTTATATTAATACAAGCATACTTTACCTTTTTCAAAAATAAATAAATAAATAAATAAAGCACCCCAAGGAATTCACATTTTAGGATGGATTATTTGAGGCACTCCATCAACACTCCAAAGTATGGATTTCTCTAAAATTAGTTCTCCAACAAATTGAACCTTCTCTGTGCTCCTTTTTCATTTCATGATCAGGTGGCTTTGGTTATGTCTAGTATTTCTCATCCTTTCCATGCTTGGTTACAAAGTAAATTACCATACAGAAATAAATGTTTTATGCAAATAAGTGCTGCTACATAAAGTGTTTTTTTTTTTTTTTCCATTTTTGAGTGTTGGGGATGACTGCATTTGAATTATGGGGACACCTCTTGATCATTTTAAGAACTAAAAATAAACATATAGACATCATCAATTGGGAAATGAAATACATGCCAAACTTGAGTCTATCATGTACAAGTAATACATGAGAGAATTCATTGGAAAAAAACATCCTTCTGTGACAGGAAATCAGATTAGCAAATTTGTTATTTGTGCCCTGCCCTGGCATACCATTAGAATACCATTTTAAAAGGAATGCAAGGCTGAAGAAAAATGCATTGAGGTGAGGCTAAAGGAAAATACCTTGATGTTCGTGCCTCAGACACATTCCTCATGCCTCAAATCTTGAGGTGCCTTTTGTTAATGATATTATTTCATGCATCAATATGAATAGGGTCTGATAACAAGACTGGATTAAAGATTAACTCTTTAATATTTACAATTATTTTCTTAATATAATACCTCATTTATTGCGTTTAACAAATTCAAGGTTTTTAAGACCCTTTTGAATGTTTATTTTGAAATTTCTTATATAGGAGTGAAGGTTTTAAATGTAGGTTCTATTTTTCTCATAAATGTTTTTTTTTTTCAATTTGCAAATGAACAAAAAGAAGAATCATTGTTAAATCAGTTATGTTTTTCCTAAATAAAATATAGTCCTTACTTTTTTCAGCATCTCTATATTCTCTTCTATGTTAATTCATATTTATGTAAAAATGAGGTCTTATGAGTTATGAGGTCTCGGTTCAAGCTTACATTCTTATGCATTTATAGGTCCTAAGTCCTAACATGGTAACACCTCTACTCCTGCCTTCACCTCTAAGACGTTGATAAATAAAAGTACATTTAGTCTGAGTAATTCTCTTATGTCTGCCCTTGGTTTTATTTTTACAGGTTTTCATGGTTATATGCCCCCACTGTCTATATCTAGTTAAACATGCTACCCAAAATTTCATAAAATTTGTATTTTACAATATGGAACATACTATTATTTTCCACAGAAGAGATATATCATATGTTTAAACTCTAAAGAAACTGTTACTTTTCTATCCCTGCAGAATCCTAGTGTCATGTCCAAGCTTCAAAATGAGGTTAGTTTCTTTTATGAAAGAAAAGTGGTTATTTCTTTTATGCCTTTTACATTTTACTAAATGATATTAGGCAGAGTATTCTGTAAATCAGAGGATAATAGCTAGAGTATTACATAATTTTACTTGCACCGTATGCTTCAGATGATTTGATTTTTTTTTTTTTGGTTCCGTTCTGGTTATTAGGTTGATTCTGTCCTAGGAGATCGGGTTCCAACTATTGATGACATGAAGAAGTTAAAGTATGCAACCCGAGTCATCAATGAAGTAAGAAATTTGAATCTAACACTGGATGTATCCTCCCTTATATGCATTACTCGGGAGTGTTTCTGTTTGTGACTTCTCTCCTTTTCTTTTGCAGTCCTTGAGGCTCTATCCACAGCCTCCTGTCCTGATTCGACGATCTCTTGAGGATGACATGCTTGGAAAGTACCCAATAAAAAGGTATCATTTCAACATAAGCTTTGGATAGCTTTGTTGTTTGCTAAAGCTTTTACTTTGTTTCATTTGTGTTGCACTTATCTATAATAACAAATTTTGCTTGATGCTACTGTTTTCCTGAGGTATTAAATATTAGGAAACTATATATACCTTGTAGTTTCAAAACCTACTCACATATACCTTGTAAGTTGGCCCCACCTATCACAAATCGGCCATCCATTAATACCACATGTAGGTGTTCATTAATTTTTTCTATAATCCCATTTTTACCCTTCTCCACTTCCTTCCTAGGAATGGCAATGGGGCGGGTTCGAGGTGGGGATTACATTCCCCATCTTCGACCCCGACCCCGACCCCGACCCCCAAATCACCCCCCATCCCCGTCTCTGATCCTCGTTGGGGAAAGAAATCCCCCTCTATCCCCGACTCTGACGGGGATGAATTTCCCGTCGGAGACCCGAATCCTCGAGCATTTAGCCATTAACAAAGCAAAAATGGCATTGCGAGTTTGAGAGACTAAGATCTGAGATTGAGAGAAAGAGAGACAAAGAGAAAGAGAGACTGAGACTGAGAGAGAGAAAGAGAGGACCGTTGCGAGTTGAGGCCGGCGATGAAAGAGAGAGTCCGAAAAGCAATGGCGACGGCGGCCGGCGATGATAGACTGGTAGTCTGAGAGACTGAGATTGAGTTTCAGTTCTTTCTTCTTTGAGTATCTCGTTCCTCTATCGAGACTCGAGTGGTAGACTGGTAGTCAGTGACGATAGACGTCCGGTGATGTCTGATGTCCGATGGGCGAGTGGAGACAACGATGGCTGTCGATGAATCGGTGACAAAGATGAAGGAAGAAGACTAACTAGGGTTCACGGTTCAAAGTTCTTTGTTTGTGTCTGTTGAAGACTCTAACCTCCAAGTGTCAAGTGTTTGCGTTTTTTAAGTTTTAATCTTTAAAATAAGTGAATAATAATATAATATATAATATAATAATATAATATAAATTTTATATTAATAATACTAATATTATATTATGTATATAATTATATATTTATTAATTAGGGACGGGTCGGGGCAGGGATTGCATTCCCCATCCCCGTCCTCGAACCCGATCGGGGATTCAGGGGTAGCCCCATCCCCGACTCTGACCCTGCCAAGGTACCCCCCATCCCCGACCCCATCAGGTTGGGGAGCCCGGGTACCCGTCGGGGACGGGGAAAATTGCCACCCCTATTCCTCCTCGGATTGAAAAAACCAGAGTAACACATCTTCCATTCTCCCCCCACCCTCTCTCTCTCTCTCTCCCTCTTCCTCTTTTTCTTCTTTTTCTCCTCCTATGCATTTTTTACTATAACAATAGTTAACTAGATGATTTGAAAGCAATAACATAGTTTGCACCTGGCCTTACGGTTTTGAAGACTTCTGTTTTTAAAAATTTACAGAAGAGTTGTTGTATTCAGTCTCTTTTTTTTCCTATTTTTTTCTTCTGTTTTCGTCCTCTTTATTTTTGAAAATTTAATAAACAGTTAGGGGTGCTTTTATCCTTTAATTTTTTTTTTGAGAAAATTTAACCAGAATTCATTAAGATAATGAGAGGGAACATGGGAAGATATACAAAGCAGGGGAAGAACCCCTACAAGTTACAAAGGAGGAAGTTTGTCGCTATACAAATGCTCCAAATACACACCAAATTTAGCTAGGCCATCTGCAGTATGATTGTGTTCCCTAGGAATCCAAACTAAATTAACATTTTAACAGTCCAAAGAATCCCAAACCTGTCAGATAATGATTCAGTCTCCAGGGACCCCCCCCTCTTTGTCTCTTAAACCATTTCTTCATATTTGCTGAATCACCTGCAATAGTCAAATTCTGAATTCCCAAATTTTTTATTATCCTGATTCCGGTGAGAGCCGCCATCACTTCAGCCTTTGTGGAGTCAACCAAGCCAATTGGACCACTAAAAGTCCAGCATATATTGCCCCTTTCGTCCCTTACTGTACTTCCAATACCAGCAAAACTAGGGTTACCTAAGGCACTACCGTCGAAGTTAAGGGTCATCACTCCTTCACTGATGGGGACGGGGTGAAGGTAAGTAATATCTGAGATTAATTCCTTCAGGGTTCTGCTTTTATTTATTTATTTATTTATTTTTATCAGTAGGGTTCTGCTTTTATTGTCAAAGAGGCGATTATTTCTTTCATTCCAAACACTCCACAACACTGCATGTAGCACTGATTGCCAAAAGACTTTACCCTTTTTACTTAACCCTGTTCCTTGCCATTAATGCAATGTGTCCATAATGTGTTTTGGAAAAGCCCAGCTATAACCTGCCCTTTTCAAGAAGTGGGACCATATCTTTTGGGTGAACCTGCAGTGAAGAAGGATGTGATCTGCAGATTCGCCTTCGCTGAAGCATAGAATACAAACCTGAGGAGATATGGAGCGTCTTTCCAAAAGCTTTTTCTGCAGGATATCACAAGTATTTACTTTCTGGAGACAAGCTTCCCAAACAAAGAAGCGAATTCTTGAAGGGATGTGGCTACACCAGATTTTCTTATAAGGAAAGGAGGAATGCTGTTCATCAACGATTAAAGCCCTGAACATAGACTTAGAAAAGAATTCACCATTTGGGTGTAGGGTCCATATTCAGGTGTCAGAATAAAAGGGGGAGATGTAGGCTTCTTTGAGGGTCTGAATTAGGGCTATTAAATCAGAAATCTCCGAGTCCCTTAGGGGTCTTCTGAGGTGGAGGTTTAAGGAGTTCTTGGCAATTTGGTTTGAAAGGCAGGAAGAAATAATGGCTTCTTGGTCAAGGATAAGGTTAAAAAGCCTAGGGAAAGAGGCTTCCAGGGTGGATTCCCCCCACCAAAGATCTTTTCAGAATTTAATTTTAAAACCATTTCCCACTTTACCTTATAAAAGGAAAGAAAGATATGAATGGAACATATACCTTTTCAAGGATTTGTGAACTTTATCCTGTTCAAATGGAGATTGCAATCCCACCCGTTTGCATTTAGTCCGTATTTGCTTGAGATGACAGTTGTCCAAAGAGCATTGGAATCTTTCGGAAATCTCTAGAGCCATTTGCCTAAGAGAAAAGTTAAGTTGTCCAATTCCCAAACCACCTTCCTCTTTAGGCTTGCATACTTGTTTCCAGTTGACTAAATGGCTTTTGTTTTCCCCACAACCTTCCCAAAGAAAGTTCCTTTGAAGCTTCTCAATCTGATTTCTGAATTTGGTCGGAATCTGGAAGATCGAAAGAAAGTAGACTGGCAAATTTGATAAGGAAGCCTTTAAGAGAGTAAGCCTACCCCCTTTTGAGAGATAACACTTTTTCCAAGTTTGTTCTCACATTTCTTCACCACTGGTCTTCAGAAGTTGAGGGATTTTGGATTCCCTCCAAGAGGCATCCCAAGGTAGGAAATAGGGAGGTTTCTCCTCTTTGCACCCCAATACAGATTTGAAATTTTCTAGAAGTTCCACTTCCACTCAATTAAGAGCTACAATACTACTTTTGGCAAAATTAACCCTCAAACCAGTGATAAGATTGAAACATTTGATTACCATTTTAGTGTTTGTGATGTTGGTTGTGGAGGCATCCAAGAATAGGATTATGTCATCGGCGAACTGTAAGTGTGAGATGTGAATCTTATCCCTACCCACTTCAAATCCTTTCACCAAGTTAAGAAGAATGGACTTATAAAAGAGATAGTTAAATACATCCATCACCAAAGTGAATAGTAAGGGGGAAAGAGGGCAACCTTGTCTTAGACCCCTACTAGCCTTGAAGCAGTGTTTTAAAAGGCGTGGGAGGCGTACGCGCCTCCAGGCGTGGCGCTCCCAAAACGCCCTGAGGCGTATGCCAGAGGCGTTGACGCCTCTGAGGCATACGCCTCTTGTGCTTTTTTCATGAGGCGTGCTAGAGGCATACGCCTCTTGTGCCTCATGCACATCAGATATGAAAATACAAAAAAAGAAAAGAAAAAAGAAAAAAGCACAAGAGGCGTCTGATATGAAAATACAGAAAAAAAAGAAAAAAGAAAAAAAGGAAAGGAAAGGAAAGGAAAAGAAAAGAAAGGGAAAGAAAAGGAAAGGAAAGGAAAGGAAAAGAAAAGAAAAGAAAGGGAAAGAAAAGCAAAGGAAAGGAAAGGAAAAGAA